CATTCATTCATTCATCCATCCATCCATCCATCCATCCATCCATCCATCCATCCATCCATCCATCCATCCATCCATCCATCCATCCATTATAAAATAATTGGGATACTACGCGCGCTATGATTGGTCGAAAACCATGTTTGATGAGAGTATCAAAACACGCTACCGTCATTTTTAATCTATCGCGCGCGCTCATTGGTCAGTTTGAATAAGACTGCACGTAGGGAGAATTGCTTTTTTTCGATCTTTTAGCGCGTTTGTTATTTTATGAAACAAATCAAAAACAGTTTTCCGTGTTTGATACTCTGATCAAAACACTTGGGATGTTGGGAGAACACTCRAGAAGCTGGAAACCACTCCGCTACGCGTCGTGGTTTCCTACGCTCCTCTCGTGTTCTCTCAACATCCCGCGTGTTTTGATCAGTGTATCAAACACAAAAAACTGTTTTTGATCTGTTAATTCATTAATTCATTCATTCATTTAGTCGATCAAAATCACTAAGTATTTTCAATATTTTAACTTATTCTTGTAAAGCGCTTTAGAATATTTATACTTTAAGCGCTATATAAATTATCAAATCATTATCGCTATCGCTATCGCTATCGCTATCGCTATCGCTATCGCTATCGCTATCGTTATCGTTAATATTATTATTACTATTATTATTATTAATTGATTTAGTCTATCCATCAGGGTCAGTCAGTCAGTAAATCATTTAGTCGATTAGCTAGTCAAAATTGAATGAGTCAGTACTCAGTCATTCAGTAGATCTATCAACAAAATACGTCTCTTCAATTTTGTGTGCATTCAGTCAGTCAGTCAGTAAATAATCATTCAATTTTTCTTCAAACTTTCAATTTTTACAAAGTTTAACATCCTTTTTGAATCATAGTCGTTATATGAGACAAGCTATATGAAGCCGATAAATTACAGAAACTAAATAAAACTCTGCATGCTCACGGGAATTCACCACGAGCCCCACGTGACGGCTATAAGTGTCAGTCGGTCAGTCACTCAGTCAGCGATAGCATTTACATACATACTTCAAGTCAGTAAGCGAAAATATTTGCATATACGTGAACTATACTTCGTAAGAAATACTAATATTTTGATCGATATTTGTATTAACAGCACCAGAGTCTCTAACATCCTACTGCCGTAGTCTTTTGGATACTGGTAAAAGTCGTTTTTTGTGTCCGTACTTAAGTCCTGATGAGCCACCCGTCTACTGTGGTAAAGAATGGGACTACATTACTGTACGTCGTCTTGCCGTCCTCACTAGCGACGAAAAGAAGGAGTTTGAGTCCAAGATATCCGAGAACTTCTTGATGAAAAGCGCTGGTATCCAAGAATGTCCGAGGTGCATGTCGATGGCAGAGCGACCAGAAAAGAAAGTCCGTGTCGTTTGTCCACTTTGCACCTTGAGGAGAGGAACAAACTTTGAATTTTGCTGGAATTGTCTGCGTGAATGGAAGACTACAGGAACCAAAAAATGTGGTAAAATACTGACAAAACGTGAAACAGTCAATTCCTCCCTCCCTCCCTCCCTCCCTCCCTCTCTCCCTCCCTCCCTCTCTGCCTCCCTCTTTTTTTTTCACTCCACCAATCAATTATGGTAATTTTCTTTAATTTTTTAAAATTATTTATGATACAGGTAATGAGGATTGCTCTGGAGAAGATCCTCGACTTAAGATTCTGAGAGAATGCAAAAAAAAGACAGTTATTGGCGTGGAAAACTGTCCAGCGATTCGTGCTTGCGTAAAGTGTGGTATGTTGATTGAACATATCAAAAATTGCAAACAAATGATCTGCCGATGCAAAGCAGAGTTCTGCTTTATCTGTCTGTCAACTAAAACAAAAAAAGGCTGGTCTTGTGGGAGTTACAACCAGGCCTGTAAAATCGCTCCAATACAGACATCAGTAGTCGGAGCAGAATAGTCTAATTACCAGAGGGTCATGGAGAAGTCCAAAGTACGATCTCCGACGGTCTGTCAATCAATTAAGCTACACATGAAACGGAATTCCAAATGCTTTTTTTAACATTACGTCACTAAGGCCCCGTCCACACGTCCACACGCAACCCGTATCCGCAAAAAAAAATTGCGGATACAAAAATTTGCGGATACGTGTGGACGGGGCCTAACACGGCTGCCGCACGACGCACTAAGTTTCACTAACACGTGAAAATTGCTCTAATTATATATTTTGTTCGCTGTTGATGATGCCTTGATTTACATCATCGTTGTTACTGATTATTGCCGTCGTTATTGTAATCAAGGATGATAATTTCGCTTTATAATGAAGAAATGAAACACGCCAGCCGTGTTTTCACACGCTAATGAAACACGAATTCGAGAGCAGATCAGTCCAAACACAAACAACACGCAGAGGAGTGTTTGGACCTGCACGAGAATTCTCCCAAACATACCGAGTGTTTCATTGGCGTGTGAAAACACGGATATGGCGCGTTTCATTTCATTTATAAAACTAGACCCTTGTTCCAAGAATACACTCGTGCCCTGTGGGCGTGGCTTGTGTTGGGGGCTGCAGAGGGGTTAAGGCCATAGAAGTGTTTGAGAGAAAAATCACTCAAATATAAAACGAGTGAACACTGAAACAAGGAAATGAACGGAGTGAAGGCACTAGATCACTAGAGTGCATACAATATGACCGTGAAACTTTAGTAATACTTAATAGCACAATTTCATGCAAATTCCATTGTTTTCTATTGTTTAATTAGCACTATTTTGTACTATTTAGTAATTAGTGTTTCACGGATTAATTTTTTGCACTCTAGTGCGAGCACTCTAACATGTGGGATACAGTAGAGTACAAACACTATAAGTGTGTAACATAAATACCACTAAATACTGCTAAATTATGCTATAATCCTATTGTTTTCTAATGTTTAATTAGCGCTATTTACCACTTTATAGTACACTCAACAAAATTACTCGACTCTGATTGGTCGAGAGGAGTACAATTATAGCGTTAATAGAAAGCCGTAAAAACTAATAAGAACTAATATTTTTTATGCACTCAGTTGCGCGATGGACTGAAAATCGGTCGCCAAATAGACAAAGATGAACGCCGTCGCTTCGCATTTTTTACTGAAAGTTTGTTGAGTGAACTATAAACAAAAAATCGCACGATCTTCTCGTACAATTTGGAATTAATAGACATTCGTAATGTTTTGAACATTACTCGTGTCTATTAATTTTCAAATTGTACTCGAGATCGTGCGATTTCCTATACAAATACTGCAAAGCGCGGGCGTTGCACACTTTTAGTGTTTGTACTCTAGTTAAACACAATATTGTATTCTTTTCTTCGAGTCTACTTGACTATTACACATTGAGTATTATTGATTTCACATTTTTATGTTTTCACTGCGGAGGAAGGGAATGGAAATGAAATCTTTGAAGATCACTAAACATTGGAAAATAACTTAATCTACTTCAAAGACAAAGCTAAAAAACAACAACTTTACTTAACATTATTGTTATAAAGGACATGCAAATATATTAACATCACTGTAAACATATTAGGGACCTTAAGCTGCAGGACGGYAACGACGACGACGACGGCAAACATACAATAGCACTAATTGCGCTATCCAATAGATACTCGTTGGAATGTACGAAATACTGTGCATCATTGCCGTCTTATGCTGAAAGTAAGACGTGAAATGTCCTTTTTTTACGTACTAAAGAGAACGGCTACGCCAAAAGCTTATCTTTGTTGATTTTCGTTATAAGTAAAGCGCTCCCAAAAGACGACATTTCACTCTAAAACGGGGATGCTTATTGAGTAAAATACTAGGTAAACACGAAATAATAATACAATAGAAGGTTGAAGCGCTTCAACTTCGCCGACGTTGTCGCCCGCATTGCCGTCCTGCAGCTTAAGGTCCGGTCCCTATTATTAGAGTGCACACTGCATAGAGTACAAACATTAAAAGCGTGCAATACTTTGCACTATTTAGAACTAAAGGTAATTACATAGTAGAAAACAATAGAATTAGCACAATTTCACAGTATTTAGAACTATTTATGTTGCACACTTTTAGTGTTTGTACTCTATTAATGAAAGTTAATTAAATTATTGTCGAATTGCAGTCATTCGTACAAGGTTAAGACTAAATTCAAAACTCGCACGGATGTGAGGCTTAAGTTGTGAATAAAGGGATCTGGCGTGATTCGTGACTTTTGAATCACGCCAGATTACTTTGAGTCACGCCAGATCCCTTTGTTCACAACTTAAGCCTCACATCGGTGCGAGTTTTGAATTTGGTCTATAAGAACAGTGTATTTATAAGTATTATGATAACAATAGGGATTCCTTATTTTGAAGGTTTTCTGTGTTTATTTTTAGTTTTTCATACAACTAAACAGTTGATGAGTAAAGGCTGGTTCATACTTTAACATAAGTATAAACATATTAAAGCATAAGAAACTGAAGCTTATAAAAAAACATAAATAAGTTTGCACTGTATTCTTTGTTTGCACGTTACGTCATCGTGGCCATGTTGGTGCCATTTAACAAAAGATTTCTCATTAGCATCCATTGCTAACGGTACCAAAATGGCCACCATGGTTTTGTCTTTTAACTGCCTTGGGAATTGTTTGCAACCCATCAACGAACTTTTGGATTATCGTCTTCAGGCTTGTAGTCGACCTTGTATATAGGACATTGGACGATGTGCGCGCGCTCAAAAACCGCTGAAAAATCTACAAGATTTTATTGAAGAACCATACACGTTTTGAGCTTCAACAGGGCAAAACCCTCAAATTTTGCACGGGACTCTCTGTTTTTTACTAGCTCATTCGAAAATATTCCTTAAAATCTAGGTTATATCAACATTTTAGAAAACGTTTATATCAGTAACACATGAAAAAATGTAGGGATTTTTGTTCGACTTTATGAGATTTTTTAAGAGCACCGAAACTACAAAATATGACAAATCAATGTATCTTTTTGACTTTTTGTCGAAATATCCGAATTTCACGTCTCCACATGGATGTTTTATTGATCCAAATCTAAATGCCACTTCCTCCAATGTACTTTTTTATCTATTGATTGACTACTTTAGCCACAGGGAGCCCGGCTTGGTGATGCCAAATCGGTAAAACGATCACGTTTCATATGTTGATGACATTACATAATAATCGTAACTCAATACACCCCTATTACAAAAGGTCACTACGTAATAGAACACCAGTGTTTGTAACGCGTAACTTAATACCGTGATAAATTCAAATTCAAATACGTAACGCACGCGTTAAGAAGAGAGAAAGGAGAGAAGGGCTGAAACAAGCGAGGTTTATTCGTTGTATGTGCGCCAGCAGTTGATGGGACACTTAATTTATTCATAACCAGCATGACATCGAACGTGCACTCAAATGTACACGTTCCGAGTTCGTCAATAATAGTGAGTATTAAAAATGATTTAAAAAAATACGAAATGAGTTTTGTATCGATTATAAACTAAGAATTATTTTCGTGAACTTTGAGGACAGGCTACTTGAAACAGTGAAGTTGGCTCTGAAGAAATATCAATCGCCGAAACATACGAAGAGCTACCGGCTTATGGTTCAGAATAGAGAAAATATAGACAATAATAACAGAGAACTCGGACGTCTCCTAAAAACCGTCTTTCCTTCAGCAACTAGAGTCAAAGTCACTTCTGGAAAAAAGCGGGGAAAAAACATTTCTACCTGTCAAGATCTTTTGTTATTTTCATTGAAAAATGGCAGATCAGGCTAGGTTAATTATAAACCAAGCTTGCCGAAATTGCCGAAAATATCATGAGAACTGCTCACAAGTTATGAAATCAACGCTCCCTCAGTTGGTTTAATCTATACTCATTCGCTTGATCCAGGTTTAAGAGCCCTAACTCTAAAACAAGACTAGAAAATCGAGGTTTTAAAAGGGCTACTATATTTTGTTTCAGCCCTTCTCTCCTTTCTCTCTTCTTACGGGGCATCTAACACTATTGCATTACAAGTTCTATTACRTAGTGACCGTTTCAGTATATGGGTGTATTGAGTTACGATTATTATGTAATGTCATCAATATATGAAACGTGATCGTTTTACCGATTTAGCATCACCAAGCCGGGCTCCCTGTGCTTTAGCAAGGATGTTGGATGATCTTACGCTCGAGGACGAGCACTCTAAAAATACACTCTAGAAATGACGTAACTACTGACGTAAGAGGAAATTTCGTTCGCGCCATTTAGCTAATCTATGAAAACCGAACTTCAGAACGAGACCGTGATGTCACATCCTGATAATCGTATGATCCAATCGCTTCAACAGGCGCAATGCAAATGAAATTTGACATCATTTCCTGCTGGTCGCCCGGACCAATCGGATGAGGCTTCGGTTATGGCGCAATGCAAAATGAACTTTGACGTCATTCCATTTCGGTCGCACGGACCAATCAGAACCGCTCTCACTTCAGGCGCATTTCAGTTAGAATATTAGCCTTATTGACCTAAAAACCTTAATCTTAAAAAGAGTCTTTAGAAAAGGATTAACTGAACAAAAGTGCCGATGACAGTCGCTTGTGTTTCTATAAAGCTGAAACATAGTATTCTAAATAAACCAAAAATAAGGGAATAATTCTTAACTAAAAGTTTACGAGTAAACAATTATAATGAAGGACGTCAAAAATATACGTGTCCTTAGGAAGTCTTTTCTGCGCAAGTCTTACTAAACTGGTTTTATGAACAGCTTTAACTCAAAGGTCCAAGTCCAGATTACTGAGTAGTTAAAAAGAACCTTTCACTGTCTATATAATTCAATTACTGCATGACCTTTGTTAGGAAGGTATTTTACAAGGTCAACATACCCAAACCTTCTGTTCCGATAATCATATTTTATCCTTATTTAAGGCTAAATTGTTACCATAAAAACCTAAGTCAAATTTCGAATCTTATGCCCCATTCACACCTAAACGTGTTTAGTTAAACTATGTTTTCATTAGGAAAAAAAATTGAGGAACTAGAAACCTACAAAATAATGAAGCTTCCTAAAATATTGTCAGAGCAAGACAAAGAATAGTTTACATGCACTTTTTCACCAAATATTCCCAAAGTAGCGGAAAAGTACAAATAAAGAAATTATACAAGGTTATATTTTCCAGTCAATATGGTCTTAATTATCGCGAGTCATTAGATTAAAGCTCGAAAAAATTATATTTCTTGAAAAATTGTTGACATCACCATTCAGATCAAAAAGTACAATTGAGCCGGGAAAAAATTAATATCGCAATGTGGCGAACTATAGGACATATGACGAATTCTAAAAAAAGAAACAATTGATAACATCTGGTCGTCGGTTATGAGACGGCAAAGCTAGGAGCTTCGAGAAGTAAGGTAAAGAAATGTTTTCCTTTTTCTCTTTCCTCATCCTTTTTCTTAACTTCTTTAACGATTGTTGTTACTCTAGTCTCTTGTTCTTGTTCTTCTTGTTCTTCTTTTTCCTCATTTGAAATTCTTCTTTATCTCGTTCTTGTTTTTCTTCTTCTTCTTCTTCTTCTTCT